TAGATTTAGCGACTTCCCCGCCCCTTTTGAGACTTTTTTTCAAAAGTTTAGGGACAAATATAGCAACTTCTTGGACAAACCTTATCTAAGTTCTCATCTTGCCCACTGATATATATTCATCTTTATATAGATCAGTGAATTTTGCCATTATGATGTCATCTAGTGACATTTAGCTACCAGTTTTAGCTACTTTCAAATGAAAGCAGTTGGCAACACTGGCAATCACGTTTATTTTCTAAAACCAAAATAAAACACCTCAAAATTCCAAAAAAAAAAAAAAAAACAAGTGAAGAAGAAACCGAAACAACAGATGCTTCCACATGTAATCTAACATGATCATAAGACAAATAAACTGCTGCAGTAAAAGCTAGGTCCATGCAAAATGTAATGTGTAACTGCAACACTCATTTCAAATGTAGTGGAGTAAAGAGTACAGATACTCATTCAAAAATGTAGTTTAGTAGAGAGTAAAAGTTGCTAATATCTTTGATACTCAGTACAACTACAAAGTATCCAAAAAGATACTCAAGTACAGTAACTAATTATATTTACTCCAATACTTTACACCTCTGGTGGTATTGAAAGATTTAGAAGCAAGACATCAAGATCAAAACTCCAACTTCACTGGCTGGTTGCTCAAGTGATCAAGACCATCTTCAACCAGATAATAAAAAATCCATGCAAGAAGCTGCTTTTAGTTCCAAGCACAGTGGCGTAGCGGACGGGCACGCAGGGCACGTACTGCAGGGGGGCCCCAGGATAAGACGATGGGGTGTGTTGAAAGACGATCGTCATGTATCGACCATAGCCAGAGATATTATCAAAACCATTAAATATTGCATTAAATACTTTTATTATTAAAGGGGTCATATGATGTTGCTAACAAAAAACATTATTTTGTGTATTTGGTGTAATGAAATGCGTTTATGCGGTTTAAGGTTAAAAAAACATTATTTTCCACATACTGTACATTATTGTTTCTCCTCTATGCCCCACCTTTCTGAAACGCGGGGCATAGAGGAGGATTACAAAGCTCATCGGTCTGAAAAGAGATGTGTGCGAGGTGTGCTCTGATTGGCCAGCTATCCAGTGCGTTGTGATTGGCCAAATACCTCAAGCGTGTGACGGAAAGGTTACGCCCCTTACCATATTGTGATGCAGTGTCCCGGAGCGACGAGACAAAAAAAACATTAAAACCCATTATAAACGAGGCATTTGTTGCATCCAGTGGGGACATAATTACGGATTATAATGACTTAAACTGTCTTTTTACGCGTTGCATCGCGCCGCATAAACATAAAACCATGTCTGCATTTGTGATCGGAGAAATGACAAACCACAAGCGCTACTCTACACTGCTCAAAACTCGCGTTTGAATCATCAGTGGCAAATTATTTAAATATGAAAACGTACTTACAGTCTGTGAGTCAGAACAGCTGGCATTGTAGCCTACTCTCCCAGGATCAGGAAACAGTCCTCCATAAAATGCGCTGCACACATCTGAATATTTGGGTTGAACTGTTCTGGAACAGTGTTGTAAATACAACTTAACCACTGATTTCTAGTCGTGTCCTTTTTTGGAAGTCCAAAGTATTTTAGCTTTCGCAACAAAACACACAGCGTCTTCACAACATGGTGGCGGCGGCAGCAACAATAAAGTTACACCTTCTTTCTTTGCGTGAACATTTAGGTGGGGTTATGCACCTTCCATAGCAATCTTCCCACATCGTGACGTAGACATGTGGGGGCGTGTTTGAACGAGGCATTTTAGGAGGGCGTGGACGAGTCTTAACTTTTATAAAGAATATGTCTTTGGGTTTGAGACTTCAGTCTTTGCAAATTTAGGGATCTTATCTATTCACGAACAGCAGTTACTGTCACAAACAGTAACACTCCAAAGAGAAAGGAAAACTTCATATGACCACTTTAAATTAATATTACAATTAATTTGCTCTGCAATAATTTTATAGCGCATCACCGCATAACTGAGGCGCTGTGAGGATATTAAAAGATTAGGCTATTAGCTTAGGCTACTCCTCATTGAAAATGTTTTAAAAATGTCTTTTAAAACAGGTCAATTATAGCCTACAATGAATTATAGGCCTATAGCCTAAATAAAATTTTAACAGTCCAGTTATCAATGAAACTTAAGAGCAGCTTTTTTAAAGCACCGACTTGCAAAAAGAACCTGTTGAACACAAAATATGTTTCTTCTCATTGTTTTCAGTATATGTTCACTAAGTCTTGCACAAAGTTTGCACGTTGCTTGTATGTATCCACTGACTCGCCTTCACGGTGTAAAACAGAAATATTTCCACTATTGTGACGCAACAGTTAAACTGCCAGCTGTTCTTCAGAAAAAAAGCCTTTAGCGCCCACAAATTATTTGGTTTTTCAGCATTTTTGTGTATTTGAACCCTTTCCAACAATGACTGTATGATTTTGAGATACATCTTTTCACAATGAGGGCAACTGAGGGACTCTCATGCAGCTATTACAGAAGGTTCAAATGCTCACTGATGCTCCAGAAGGAAAAACGACGCATTAAGATTCAGGGTGTGTACATTTTTCTTATTTTGCCTAAACATCATATTTGTTTTAATTTAGTCCTGCCTTTCAGAAGCTACAGAAGATACTTACATGTTGCCCAGAAGACAAAACAAGTTAAATTTACCCTGATCTTCAAATTCAAAACGTTTTTCAGCTGTATCTATTTGATAATGGAGAGCATTTAGGTACAGCATCTATCAACAATCTTGCAATTAATTTGCTTTTTCTATTTGATTTAAATTTGGATGTACTAATATACCCTACAATACCAATTCATTTTCAGCACAATGTATTACTGACCATATCCTTCAGTCATCCAGATTAGAAGTGGTACAGGTGGTCTTCCTGAAAAAGATGAAGAATTTTGGACCAGGGCTTCCTTCGCAAGTTCGATTGTATTGAGGAATATTGCTGACTTTCTTCCGACATAGATAGTGGCCATCTCTCCATACTGAGATAACTGCTCAGAGAAAATATCACAGCACTTCAACACAACTAATGCGGCTTAGACATTGTCTCACCTGTGAATGAAGTCAACATGTACATTTTACAGAGTAAGGTGAAGATAAGACACCTTTCCACAAAAGCAAAGCCTCTATACTCAAAGCAAACACTCACTGATCTTAGGAACTCCATTGGGTTCTTTAAAAAATATGGTATGGTTCCCACAAAAGGCAGCGGTCTGGGACCAGGTGGAGTTTGAGCTCTGCAGGAATTAATCCTAAAATCCTCAAACAGAACCAGAAAGATCAAACCTAGAAAGACCACCAGGCATACAGTGGTCAGTTCTAACTTCATGAGAGTCGTCCACATGATGACAGATTCATTTCAAGACAAACACAAAAGCAACAGGCAACCACGAGCTTTATAAACACCGAGCAAGAAGGGGAGGAGACATTGGCAGTGAGAGTTTGACATGACGTTTAATGTTTTTGTATAGTTATGCTAGTTATTACTGCTAAGGCTGCAAGGTTCTAAACATTAAAGACATAAAAGAACAAAAAAAGATCATAGTTCAGCACAACAATCATTTTCCATTTATAAACACACTACCATGAATACATGGATATAAGTGAAGTTCACTTACTGCAGTGAACTAAGACAAGTTGTGCAAGTTTAGTAAATAACTGACTAGCTCAAAGATCTCTACTGCCATGATGTGCATTGTTGACACTAAATCTCAGCACAGCCAATGGATATTCTACACCCTAATCTTGACTTTATTAATAGCATTATGCAAGAGGTATAGAAAGAGATGTAAAGGTGACAGTGAAATAATAGCAAAGGTAAAGCATTCCCTGCATAGAGTTCTGCATAGGCAAGGCAAGGCAAGTTTATTTATATAGCACATTTCATACACAATGGTAATTCAAAGTGCTTTACATAAAAGAAATTAAAACACAAGGAATTTAAAAACTTTGAAAATGATAAAAAAATTTATTTAAGAGGTTTAAAATTAATTTAAAACAGTTAAGAATAGAAAACGATTATACATAAAATATAGTGCAATCAGTTTGGACATTGCACAGTGCTCATTCAATAAATGCATAGTCAGGACCAAGTCATTCTCAGGACCAAGCACTGACCCGCTGCCTCGCTATTTCTTTCTCTTAGGAGAGAAAGGAAACGGGAGGGCTGAGCGAGGGGGACCGCCTTCGTGAAAGAAGGCGATCCGCGAGCGGAGACGGGAAAGACTCATACTCTCACAATGGGAGCATGAGCCTTCAGTGAGCGCAGCCTCTGCGTGGGCGCTGCCGAGACAGGCGACGCACTCACTGGCGACCGCAGTCTTGTTTCTTTGCTTAAAATGCACATATGATATAGATAGGAATAAGATATAGGTGGCAAATATGTAAATACGTGTAGATTTGCACTGTTTGTTTGCTTAAAGGGGTCCTATTATGCTCTTTTACAAAGTCTTGATTTTGTTTTGGGGGTGTACTAGAGCAGGCTCTCATACAAGGTTGTTCGAAAAACACATTATTTTTCACATATTTTACATTATTACAACACCTCTCTCCCCAGTCTGGCATGAACGGCTCGAATAGTTCCT